CATAACTGTACATAAATTATAATTTTTTATTTCTGCGACGTTTTTACTTCTTACTTATTTAATAACTATAAGCTTTATTATTTAATTTTATTACATTTTTTTATAAAAAGAGTTATACAATTGTAATCGATTGCAGTGCTTACTAAAATAAATACCGACTTTAACCCATTTTTTCTGCAAAAAAAAAATATTTTTAATATTTTCACACACATTTTCTGCGTTCAAACTATTTCAAAACTACAATTTATTCAGAAAATTCATAACACCTTAACATGTTTCATGTTTCCTGTTCATTTGCATCAGTTATTATAAGCAAACATTCATCAAATTGTGAAAATACACCGGGAAAAATTCGTAAATATTATTTTAAATACTTAAGTATTTCAATTTTAAATTGTCCAGTATTAAAAATGCGGTGATTTATATTAAAAACTGTATTATTTATATATTGCCGCTTGCGCACATTTTAAACTGAATCTCTTGATGGATAGAATTCTGCGCACGCTGAACAACTTTTTAAATTTTTTAAGTACCTTCAACTACTTCTATCGTTATAAATCATTAGAAGCAGTCTTAGAAAGGAGTTGCACATGCTGAATATGAATTTCTGGATTTTTTTTTAATTCAGCGCTTTCTGAATTTGAATTATTGCATTAATTGAAATTCTTCACTGACTCAATAAAACTTTGCTTAGCACAATAAACCTATGCTGAAGGTGCATTTGTGCATAGGCGATTATTCGAATTATTATTTCCACTTAAAGAGCATTTTTTAATATAATTATTAATTTGAATTTCGTAAATCTCAGCTTATGCAATACACATTTTATACTTAATTTCTTATCAGATGGAATTCAGCACATTTAATTACTTCAAAAGCTGCATCCATTAAGAAAGGATTTCAGCGGATGTGTTTTGGCACAAATTTTCGTCAACCCTTGTAAAATTTGGTTTGTAGATAAACCGGTTTCGGCGTTGTGCCATCTTCAATGTCATTTTTCTTTTTCGTTCTCAGCGAAACTCAGCATATACTGAATGTGAATTTACAGAATTTTTTAATTATGTGCTGAATAAACATTTCAGCAAAATAAATTTATTAATTAATTCAATTTCTTATGTTAATTGCACCAAGAAGCTTTTCAGCAAGCGCTGAATTGGCTTTAAAGAACTTAGAGATGTATAAAGTAGTCCGTTGGTAAGTAGAATTGATCTTTTTCATACAAAACTGCCTTCAGCAACCTCATGGGACTTGTATTTGAAATATACTGCTCCAAATCTATTTAGCAGAAGCTGATGTAGTTGGTACACTAATGTACTAATGGAAGAGATCGTTTACACATTTCAGACATGTCTTTGAACTATACTGAAATCAAAAATAAATATTCAGCAAGCGCTGGATTGCCATTGGTGCACTGATACAAAACAAAATTGAAACATTTAAGGTGATATCAGACTCAATGTCAAAATACTCTTTATTAAAATTTATTCAGCGAGCGCTGAATTATGTTTTGGGCTTACAAAATTAAATAAATATAAAATTTCTTAAATAAAATTCGCGCTGAATTATATTTTGTGCAACACAACAAAAAAAATTGTATTTACCTAGTCCGTTTTTGAATTTTCCTTGACTGCTTAAGTGTTTTTTAATGCATTTATATTACTGCTTTAAATTTCAAGCAACTTTCAAAGTCACTATACATTTAATTTAATATGCATGTACATTATTTTTACATAGATAAAAAAGCTCTAGCGTCAAATGTACTTACTTAATCGATAGAAATCACATTGTAAATATAGGTGAAAACGTCAAAGGCGGATGAAAGTCCCCCCAAGCAGAGAAAAATAGATACTTATGTACTTACTTATGTACAAGTAAATATAGTAACAAATGTAAAGCTGAAACAGTAAAAGCCACCCATATTAAAGTAAGTTAATATAAAACTCCCAAACAAATAAACAGAACTAAAAATGTAAATTTACCAGCAAATTCCAATTAAAGTCAATAACAAAAGAATAATGATAGCTTCAGTGAAAAAGAAAACATTTCAATAAATACCTATTAAGTATTAAAAACAGGTTATTGTAAAAATAATTTTAGAAAAAGCTAAAAATGAAACCCAAATAAAATCAATAGCTAAGAATAAACTACCACCTAGGCACTACTAACACATAACATATTTACACACTTACATACATGCATACGAACATAAATATGTAACACGNTAAAAAGCTAAAAATGAAACCCAAATAAAATCAATAGCTAAGAATAAACTACCACCTAGGCACTACTAACACATAGTACATACATATTTACACACTTACATACATGCATACGAACATAAATATGTAACACGTGAAAAATCTTATACTATTACTGTTATTTTATATTAAATCAAGTTTAAATTCAACACCCCCTAAATTCATAAAAAATAAAGACGATTTGTATGAGAATGTCGCTTTATAAAGCGTTTTAAATCTACTTTATTTTTTATGAATAAGGCCAGTAGTATGTACACTAGAGTGGTCCAAAAAAAAAAGTCGGAGTTTTAATGCCGGCACACCCTAGGATTGATCTATATCAAAAAAAATATACCCCTATTTCTTTCATTTTGAAATCAAAAAATATTTAGGGAGTGCTCAAAGCGTTCAAAGTTTATTTAACCATTTCTTATGATTAAAGATTTTTTATTGGTCCCCCCATTGCATTTTCTAAGGGCTTTGGAGGACCTATAAAATATAGTTACTATAAAAAATTGTTAAAGAAATAATTGAGTATTATTACTGGGAATCTCCTGAAGATAAGTAAAGTTTTCCGATCGAAAAATATTGATTTTCAAGAATTCTACACTATTTCTACGAAAAGATGGTTTTTCTCCATATAAAATATATGGAAAACTTTGAGCGCTTTGAGCACTACCTAAATCATTTTTTATTTGAAAATAAAAAAATATGGGTATATTTTTTTCGGTCTATAACAATCCAAGAGTGGGGCGGCATTAAAAATCCGACCTTATTTTTTTACACACATTTTTGGACCACTTTAACGTACACTTATATATATTATATATCTTTTTTAAGTGATAAAGTAGATTTAGATAAAAAAAAAGTTGTAAATGAGAACAGCGCTGTGGATAAGAGCTTTGAAATGTCAAGAACACGGAGATTCAATCAGTTAATAGTTAAAGCTCGAAGGCTTTTGCGAAAGCTCCAAAGTTCTTTACTGAGAACTGAAAAGCTTTTGTGAAAGCTCTAAATCTTTTTATTGAGACCATTAACTATGCTAAAGCAAGAGCTTTTGTGAAAGCTCTAACACTTTCTAGTCAAGGCAATACCTATGCACAAGACTGTTAAGGGAACGTAAAATCACGCAATGCCGCGAAGTAAGAAATGCATTTACTATGCAATAGACTGGTAAAGGGGCACAAAATAACGTAGGTCGGAGAAGTAAGCTGTATTCTGTTGAATTTACTTTTCTATGGTAAAGCGCGTGTAAGCTTGAAAGCTCTAAAATCAGCGCTGTTGAGTGTTATATGGCTTTTAAACATATTTTATTTACATATATACCTATAAAAGGGTTTGTTTTTTTTATTAACAAACCTATTTATGTACAGATCAGTTATTAAACAATTGTTTACACATTTCTAGTCAAACTACCAAAGTTTACAATCAAAAGCCCTTTCTGAATTTAATGTTTGGAAATCTTGTCATTACTGTAAATCATAAGTTTGTTGCAAAAATCGTTGAAACAGTAGCACTTTTGTCAATATTAAAAAACTTTCTTTATAAAGGCAAGAATAACTGATTTTGGCGAATTTCTTAGGAAAGTAAGGAGGTTTATAAAAGAAGATATAATAATAAATACAATTTAAATAAGTGAAGCGCTTTTATAAGCACCAAAGTTTAATTATTAATTAATTAAAAATAAAACAATTAGAAAATTATTAATTTTGAATTTTGTAATTATTAACAAACCATTATTAACTATGGAGAATTATTATTATTATTAGCACCATTATTATGGAAAATGCACAGAAAAATTTCGAAAAAAAATAATAAAAAATACTACATACAAATTATTTTAATTTGCCTTTTCTTTTACAAAATTTCGAAAGCAAATTTGCGCAAATTGGTTGGCAGGAGGTATATTAAATTGGTTTCTTTCATTTTTGTTTCATATTCATAATCTTTAGCATTTACCATGAATTCACAAACACGCATACACACACAAATGGGCTGTGAGTTAAAAAAAAAAAACTAATAAACCAAAAATAATAATAAAAACTCAACCTAAAATCAAATTCGTAATTTAATGGTCTACACTGGCAATCTGTACTACTTTGTCCGCGTTACGTGCGCTAATTCGGCGACAACCAAGCAGTTATTTTCGAAAGCTCGAGAAAGAAAATAGTTTTTGCGAAAAAAATTAAATGACTAAAATAAAAACCAAAAAAAACTAAGAAAGCGAGACGAAACTCATGAAGAGATGGTGATAAATGTAAAAACACACAATATAAACGAAGCCAAAAATCAAAAATTCCCCAACTTGAGTAAACCAAAATTACACTTAAAATATTAAAATAACTAGAAACTAATACAGTTACTTGCAAGAAACAAATAATAATTGAGAAATCGTGATTGTTGTGCATATGCAGAAATTTTGCGAAATTAAAAATATATAAAATATATGCAAGACCACACTTGAATATGTACCTTGACACAAATTGAAAAAATAACACTGAAAAATAAAAAAAATTTGAAATTTAATAAGCGAAATTAAACAAAAGTAATAATATCAAATATATGAGCATTATAATTTACACAAGGTTTCGTTATTTTTTACATTATCATTTCTGAGCTGCCAGGACGACACAGATGTGCCCAAGGGGAGAATTTTGCCAAAATCAGTTGTTAGCAAAAGCAAATGATAAAAATTGCGATAGGCGCGAATATTTTGAAAATCATATCAAGAAAAATCTGGCTTACATATGTACATACCTAGTACATACAAATGTATATAAAAATAGAAAGTTTTTAAAAGCACAACAAAATTATGCATAGCTTTTACCCATAATCGTATTGATAAGTTCATTTAGACACGCCCCCAGTTCACACCCACTAACAAACAACACACCTACACGCCTACAAAAACAAGCACACTAAGTAAAATGCGTCCGAAAATATCCCAGCTAGTGGGTATACAAACAATACCGTTATTACCACTATATTTATACATAGTAGGAATTTGCATAAAACTTAACTTAATGCAAGCAGCATTTATGCCGTAAAGAACCTTTACATTTCAAAATAAATAAAAAATCGTTGAATAGCAATTTAATGCTTAATAAGTTAGCAAAGATGTTTGCACTTTAATAATAAATTTTAAATTTACAAGTTTTTTATAATTTGCCTAGGTATCAGATATCCTTGCCTCTGATTTTATTCGAAAGCTTATCGTCACTACACACGAATAAAGGCGCGCTAGTGTTTTGACGGCAAAAAACATGCGTCTTTTTTCGCCATCACTTTTGAGCTCGCGCCTTTATTCGTGTCTNTGAAGAGTCTTAAGTTTTTTTATGCGTCTTTTTTCGCCATCACTTTTGAGCTCGCGCCTTTATTCGTGTCTAGTGACGTTATCCAGATAATTTCAAAGCGTTGGTCTTTGGGGAAAAAACATATTTAAAAGCTTTTTCGATCTCAACTTTCGCTTTTGGGCCACTTAAAAGCTTTCTTAAAAGTTGTTTAAAAGTTTCCTGAAATAAGCTTTTGCCTAAAAAATCCTTTGCTAATCGTTAAGCTTTAAACCGGTGGTGCGTACCGGCCTGTCCGTGGGCAAAGTTCTTTCAAAACTTTATATACATTTAGTATGAGAAGCTGAAAGAGTTTTGCCCGCGAGCAAGCTGATACCCACCACCGCTTCAAACTACAATTTTAAATCCGCCAAAAATTCTCAATAAATTTAAAAAATGTTATTAGACTATATCTATGTACATATCGTCCCTAGACACGAATAAAGGCGAGCCATTATTTTGACAGCGAAAAAGGACGCATGGACGAAAAAAGATGTGTAAACCTAGTTGACGGCGAAGAAAGGCGTGTAATCATAGATGTATACCTAGTAGGGCTGTGCGATTAATTGATTACTCAAAATTTTAATTTATCATAAAGTAAATAATTCAGTTATTCGAATAATTAGAAATTATGATTACTCAAAAGTTCAGTTACTCGAGTGATCAAGATTTTTGATTAACCAAAAAAAAATATTTGAGTAATTTGCTTTATGATTAATCAACAATTCGAGTAAAATGAGTAATCAACATTTCAAATCTTTACATATGTATAAAGTAATTAAAGCTCCTTGATACTTTGAAAACAACGTTTCTGTTTTCAAAAATTAAAACGTTTTTTTTTTTCATATACAGAATGTAAAAAAGAAAATAAGCATTTTCCAAGCAAACTCTTTTAACGAGCAAAATTATTTTTTTTGAGTAATCATATTTCAAGTAACTCGATTAATCATCGTTTTGAGTAATCAAAATCTTGATTACTCGAGTAATTGATTAACCGAATAATTGATTAACCAACTTGCTCGAGTAATCGAATAATCGCACAGCCCTAATACCTAGCCAAGGACAGTCACTTCAGCATTATTCCCCAACAACTTTTTAAGGAATATACATACTATTATTATACTCGCAAACATAGTTGACCGCGAAAACAAGTTAACGCGTCTTTCTTCGCCGCCGGCTAGGTTTGGATGCCTTTCGTCGCTGAAGTGCGTCTTTTTCGCGGTCCACTTTTGAACTTGCGCCTTTATTCGTGTCTTGTGATGATATCAACAAATGCCTTCAATCTCATATTTGATGTAAAGCTCACAAAGCTGTCATAAAGTTTTGAAACTATCCGTAACATGATTTCTGGAGCTTTTGCCAAAATTCTCCGCGGACGATGCACTTATACAATTTTAAAGCATTCTTTTTGCTTTTACATATTTTCAATAAGCTTTCAAACGTCCACAAGCTTTCAAATAATTAAACTGAACTTTTCTTCAAATTTAATCTACAATTTATTTGAATAGTAGAACAAATACGTTACTTTTTCTTATTGATTTAAAGCTCACAAAGCTTATAAAACAGATTTGATTTAATAAAGTAAAATTATTATTGACAGCTTGTCCCAAAAGGTTTACATTATCTATGATTCAGATCAGTCGCGATCAGAGTCAGCTCTGCTCTGCTCTGTACACGTCTACATAAAAGCTATAACTTAAAGAGCCTTGGAAATCTTTGAAGAATCTCTATTCCTTAAAAGAACTTCACCCCGAATTTTCATAAAACAATGCAAGTTCGATACGCCCCATTTATATGCAACTACATACATATGTATGTATGTATGTAGGCGCATGAAAAAATCGAAAAATAAAATCTTTTATATTAACTTCAGTAAAAGCTTTCGATAATTATTCAGAGAAAGCTTTCGTTTACAGGTTCTTTAAGCTATTTCAATGAAGTATTTTAATTACCTTAAAAAGCGCAATAATAGGCATGTCAGCATTAGTTCGACCGAGAGCATACCACAAAAGCTTCCAATTAAAATAAAATTTTGGGCAAAATCCAGATTATTTCTTAATTAACTGAAAGAAATTATTTGAAGTCGGAAGCAAAAAAGCTTTTTCAGCGCACGTTTTCGTTTTGCTTGTCGTTTTTTTTTTTTTTTTTTTAATTTAGGCTGCAACCTTGTCAATGCGAAAACTTCATCTTAAATGAAGTAAAGAATTTATGCTGTAAATTTTATAAGTACCAATAAAGTAAATACAGATAATGAATCTCTTATCGAAAAACGTTCCTTAGTACTGTACATAGAAGGAAATTATATTAAAAAAAAAACCTTAAAATAAAGTTTATAGTTATTANTAAGAATTTATGCTGTAAATTTTATAAGTACCAATAAAGTAAATACAGATAATGAATCTCTTATCGAAAAACGTTCCTTAGTACTGTACATAGAAAGGAAATTATATTAAAAAAAAAACCTTAAAATAAAGTTTATAGTTATTAAAATCTTTAATATAAAACTAGAACTGATCTTAAGCGTTTGACTAAGTAAATAAGTTTGAATTAAGTATCCATACACAATTGCATATACATACATACATATATTAAAAATGTTTAAAATTGTAGTATTTAGTAGTGAAATACTTAGAACGTAGTAATAAGGTGCTGATTAATTGTGCTAAATACACATTAGAAAGAATGAGTACAGCTTAAGAAAGCATTCTTATAGAATGTGATTATGAGATTAAAAAATAATGATTATGAAATTGATGAAAGTTGCAGGATTTAATTGGAAAAGGCGAAACGTGGTTCAAAAGGTTAAAAGTTTTAAGAAATTGTCAAAGCATTGAGTCCAAAATAAGCACATTCAAAGATTGTTAATGCATTTTATGAAATATCAGCTATTTAGTTGATGAAAGTTGATTGGGTATAGTGAAAGCAAGCGTGAAGCTTGCGCTGCTATTAGAGAGCTTTAGTAGAAAAGTAAAACGTTGATATGACGAATGACAAGAGTAAATTATTTAGCACTCCCGTTTAGTGGGAGTAAATTTGCCTAAAATAAAGTTAAGTAGTAAGTTTGCTTATTCTTGGTTTCTATTGTTATATTTTTAAAACATACATATGCACATATATGTATGTATGATGGCTTTTTAATTTGCAATTACAAAAATTGTTTTCACTTAGGTAAACACTAAAGCCTTTTATTTCTTTTGCTCTGGTATTGTAATTTTTTAACAATTTATTTGAGCTTTTCACTTAATTAAAAAAAGAAACCACAAACTTTGGAATTGCCTTTAACCTGCAAAAAGTAACGTTAAAATGCGAGTAACAATAAAGTTTTAGATTATATTAAAGCAAGCTTTTTGGTATAAATGTAAGTAGCGAACATGCAATTTAAATCCACAAATTTCACAGTGAAAGCTTTTCTTAATAGTAGTCCTACATACATACATAGATAAGCCAATGAGCACATGCTTAAGGAAAATGTTTAAAGTAAATAGGATACAGGGTACTTCTTGCAATTATTATTAATATATTATTACTAATATACAAATATTTAAATTATATGCCACACAAAAAAAAAAAATTATATTAAATAAGAGGGTTTATTATAAATACATATTGATGAAATATTAAAATAGCATTATTCATATATAAGTGATCAACTTTTAGTGTTAAAAATCACACATATTTGTACACATGTCTACACGATATAAATTTCTTTGATTGATAAAAGTGGCTTTTGATTTTTAACTTGATTGAATTTTTGTGCTTTTTGCAGCTTTCATTTTTTAAGCTTTTATTTGCAAGCGTACAAGCTCACAAACTTATTTTCGCACTAAAGCTTTCATACTTGAAGCTTTAAAAGGTTTTCGTTTTCTTTGATTGATTTGAATAACACATTTGTGCCAAAAATAATTGCTATAATTTATTCTTTAAAAAAATATCCCAACTACAAGCTTTTACAATAAGAAATAAAAATAAAAATGTGCCCAAAAGCTTCTACAGTCACTTCACACGCCCTCACACGCACCCACACACTCATACACTGCACTACAAGGCATTATCAACACTAACTGACCATTTCTGAGGAGCCGAAAAACTATGCAAGACAAACATAAAGCGAATTTATATTGTAAATAAGTTTAAAGTTAAAATAAAATATAAATATACACAAAATAAAAAAATTTAAAAACAAAAAATATTGAATTACAAAACTTAGATAAAGACTCAGTAGTAGTAAAGAAAAAAGAATTGCTGATAATTAATTTTACAAAGCAGACATAACTGCAACAACTGTACACAGCTACTACGTCATAAGTCACTTAGGGCATAGCACATACCTATAATCAAATACATATGCATCACCTACATACATACATACATACTTTCATAAATAGTATTTACTTGTATATGTAAGATAAATCAAAAATATCAGAATTGCATTTTGCAAAAGCTTAGCAGAATTGAGTGCCGCTTTTTAGAGCTAATAAAGTATAAAAAAATACAATTTTCTTTAAAAATAATAATAAAAAATCCAAAAGAAAGTCGAAAACTTAAAAGCTTCAAACATATTTTGGCTGTTCTTAATAAAATATTAGAACTGCATTTTTTTCATCAATGTATTAAATTTATGGCGAAATTTATGCTCAAGTGTGTACCTACATGCATATGTATACTAAATTTTCTGTAAGCTTCTTTGTTACAAATTTCATAGGTGTGTGCAATTTATTTAATATTCGATTCAGATTCAGAAAATTCCGTCCGCATGTTAGTAAATACACACACACGCACATAGGAATCTAAATTTTAGCACAGATACAATTACAATTGGTTTTTGAAAAACACGTGTGTTCTTTTGCAATGAAAGCTCCTTTTATATTATTTTCTTACAAATGCGAAGCACTATTACAGGCGTGACTTTTGAACATGTGAAAGTTTTGGAAAAAAGTTAAAAAACAACTAACCTTGTTTTACCACATAATTATAATTATTATTGTTGTTATTTTTTTGTGAAAGCTCGCTTATTGCTAAGTAAAAGCTTTTCACAAATCTCACCCAATAATAAGATTTTATTGTGCTCTTTTATAGTCTTCATTCATTTTTAAACTTTTTGGTTTTAGCTTTGTTATGCTTTCACCTTTTTATAGTCACATTCGCTTCACTTTTTTAATACTTCTACTAAATCAATTTTTTTAATAATTCTCATTGCATTTCACCTATACCGAGCAATAGAAGGTTTCATAAACATTTCCGGGTCTCTCTCTCCCTCGGTGTCTAAGAATATTTCAGTCGCAACTTCATAAAATCGTTAAAATTTGATGTATGCTTTGAAATATTTACCATAAAAAAAAAAATAAATTCCTTAAAACACATTCCGTGCGGAATATTTTCCTTCCTAAAAGCTCTTTGGGTTTTTTGTTAAAAACTGGCTAGTGGGAAAGTTTATAACAGTAGTAGACTGCGAAAGCTTTTTCCCTGTACACGTCTACACAAGTGTATAGAAAGCTTAAAAAAACTATGCGTGGGGCAATTCACTGCCCATTACCGCATTAAAACTTTAAATTATTAGCTCAAAACGAAGCATAAGCTTTCTAGCTGTAGTGAACCAAAGCTGCATGAAAGTTTTATAACTTCAAAGCTTACAACAGTGGAAGCTAATTACGGATTTTTGTTAATTTTTCTGCTGTATTAAACTCAGTTTATTTTTTATTAATATATATATATATATATATATTATCAGCTTTTTTGACTTAAGCTTTCCATTTGTTTTTTTTTTCTTACATAAAAACTTTGATTCGCAAAATATCAAAACTTACAAATACATTCAAAGCAACCACAAAAGAAATTACAAATTGTTAACTACTTAAATTAAAAACCAAAACCAAAAAGTTTTAGATTTAAAGAGCACCTTTAAATGAACAATAAAAGTTTTAGAAACCAAATCAGCAGAAAATAGCAAATAATAAGAAATTATATATACATAAATCAGTAAATCACACTTAATGCGAAACGCATTGGTAAGAAGGGGATAAAACATAATTTTGAAAACAAGATTATCGAAAGCAAAATCCGGAAAATGAAGAAAAGCGTTGTTTTTAAATTTTTTGTTTTAAGTTTTTCACTATTTTTGATCATACATTAATATTTTTTTCTTACATAATAAAGCTAAAAAAGCAGCGGGTAACAATAAAAGTGGCAGAAGTAAACTGAAATTAGTAAAAATTCTAAAACAGCGCTAAAAAGTCATAAATGCTAATGCATGATATTACATACTGATAACAAAAACATATTAAAGCAAAAACATTTTTTATTGTAAAATGGTTTCAAATAAACTAATAAAGTAAAATAAGAAGAAGCGAAATTTCACAAAATAATATTTAAACGCAAGTAGTGATTGAGAATCATATTAAATGAATACCTAAATTACGAGTAAGTAAATAAATAAAGTAATAATATTAATATTAATACTGTTATACCAAAAAAAAGACTATATGTGAAAGCGAAGAATAACTCTACAAAGTATGTAGTAATGCAAACTAATCAACCTAGAAAAATCGACACAGGGATGCTTTTAGCATTAGAGCTAAGCAGCATATACAAAATTGAACACTGAATAATATTTAAAAATGCTTTCGTAGCCTTCTTGAATTGTTTTAATGTTCTTTATTTGTAAGATTTTTAAGCGACTACGAAGCTTATTAAATGCAGAGCTAAACTAAATATTTGAAGCTCATGTCCGCAGTGCTGTAGAACTTTCACAGCTAAAAGACAGCTTTCACAATATAAAGCTTAAGGTGTCGTCCACTGCTAAGTGAAGTGTTAAAAAGGAACTTAAATTTCGACGAATGGAGTTATTGACGGAATGCAAATAAAAAGCTAATTTGGAAACAGCTGAGCGCTGAATGCAAATGGAGTATAATAATACATTTCCAATAATTTACTTAAAAAGCCGCCAGTATTTTACAGTCGTAGATAGAGAAGTAAGCCAGCTATTTAACAGAGGTTTCCTAACTCAGAAAGATTTCTTTGTACGAAATATTTTTCATGTTGTCATGACAATTTCAACTTGAAATGAAGTGCGTGGTCGAAAAATAATTGCATTGGAAACTTGTAGAAATTATTTTAGTGGCAATTAAATACCACTTTTTTACGCACTTAGATCAAGCTTTCGAAAAAGTGCCGTTTATGTTGCAAAGTTGCGAAAAAAATTTTGCCAACAAAGATTATTTATTTGGAACGGATTTCCGTCATCCCTTGTCAATTTTGGTTTGGAGACCAATAGATTTAAGCGTTGCGTCATCTTCAGTGTGATTTTTCCCACTAAAAGAATGCCGAATTGCCAAACTTGAAAAGAGATGACGAAAATTCGTGCCAATATAAATTATATATTTTTTTCGCATCTAATAATTCACCCGGTTGTCTACTTAAACACTTAAGCACACACTATCCAAAAAAGACCTTGCGTTTTTTTGTAGAAAACTGCTATTTTTAACCATATCAGATACAAATAAATTTAAAATTTAAATGAAATAAGAATTAAAAAACACGTATCACATGAATAAAGAGCAAAATACTCGAATATATTACGCCGGTGTTAGTACTGACTTAACGGTAGTAGAGCAGTGAAATGCTTTTGTGGAAAAAGCGATAAAAAATTAAGTTTTTTGAGGCATTCATTAAATGCACGCACGGAGTAACAGAAAACCGCGTAAGCATACAAAATTAGCAAAGCAGCAGCTGAAAAGAAGAATTTACAATATTTAGAGCTCGATGAACTCAATTTAAAATAGAAGGGTTTTAAACAAGGCGAAGTTTTTTTTTATTGAATAACAAAACCTTCAAATACAGTTTTTTTAATTGTAAGAAAATATTCTGCTGATTTTGTAAGCATATTTAGACTTAATTAAGACTAAGCATATGTTTTTTATTTTGAACATTGTTTTAATCAACACAAATCAAAAAATACACCGTCTTACCATTTTGTTTGCTCAAAAAGCTTATGTCCTCTTCTAAAAAGAAAAAACACAAACACCTTAACACAAAATTAAATAGTACTATGTATGGCTATGTATTTTTAACTCACTGTAATATGTTTAAAGTGACTGCATACATATATAAATACAAACATACACACGTTAGCAGTGCTAGGTTTTTAGTAATAAAATAAATAATAATAAAAATTATACACATACATACAATATTTGAAGAATATTTAATATTAAAAAAAAATATTTAAACTAATATCATTTAACGATAATTAGGGCAAATGAAAAAAAATAAAATTTTAGAGATATTACCAGTAAATTATACTAATAATAAAAATCAATCAAGGGATTTTATTTGTTAAAAAATACTGAGCATACACAATATTGTATTGCACCATCACAATATGTACATATATATGTTGATTGGTGGTGGCAAAAGAAAATTAATTAATTAAAAGCAAAAAACAAAATAGTATTGCAAAATTTGCTAAATCATTTAATAAGTTTGTGAGTAAGCTGAATTTAGTGCAGAAAGCGATTCAAAAGTATATATTAGTGACAGATGCAGAAATTAAAATAAAAAATAGTAACAGAAATAGAAACCATGAATACCGCAAGGACCGCAAAATGAAATTATAGTATAAAAAAGCATTTAATCAAATTTTCAAAAGTATATAAAACACGAAGCTACTGAAGAAAATATTTGCACACATACTACATACAATCGCAAACATAAATAATTTAAGGTTTAAACTTTTTATTCATATTTTCAAAATTTTGTAAGTTTTTTTTTTTATTTTTTAAGAAAAGATGTGCGAACGCTTGGTACTAATGGAGATTTGGCATGTTATCATACTCGATAATTTTCGATATCTTCCTGTTTATCGATATATGTATGTATATCGATATTTTATTTTTATCTTTATTTTATGTTTCTTAGTACTGTATTTATCGATATGCTCATTGATGATTTTTTCGATATATTTATCGATATTTAAAGATTATCTGTAGCTTTATAATTACCGATTGTTATTTGTAGATAGCTGGAAGATCTCAAAAAAAATTCAAGAAATATTTTTCATTTTTCTGTCGCTTCAACAAACAGCAGGAGACAATTTCTCATAATTTTCACAATGAAAACTTTTTGAAAAACTATTTTATTTTCATTTGATAAGCAAAACGTAATTTTATGAGATGTGATGCAAAATGTTTTCAATTCACGCAGAACAAGAATTAACCATCAGGTTAATTAAAAAAAAATTAGAGCAGTGTAGTACAAATTGTTCAAAATTTCTTGAAAACTGCATAGTGGTTTAGGAAATTTTAATAGAAAAAAATGTCTCTTTCATTTCTTGAGCATTTTTTATATGTATATAAAAATTTAACTTTTTCTTGAGAGCTGGATAGGACAAGCTTTACTTAATTTACAAATTTGAGGAATGTTAACTTGTTTTGTGCAAAGATATTCCACGTAATGTATTGTACTTAAAATTTTTTAGGAGCACACCACATTTTAACAAAAATTCTTTGATTAAGTAAATGTAATTAAATTAATTCAAATAATTCATAGAAACTCATTTGATGGTGATGCAGTAGACTGTTGCCCTGATTTTTCTTCAATATTGCCATTCAAAGCACCAAGTGATATTATTTCACGTAAGTGGTCAGGAAATATATGGCTCAGTAGCTCAGTTCGGAATATTTAACTCGCTGTTGAAAAGTGAGTTGGCACCGAGAATAAATAAAGACGAGATCAGAAGGCATCCCGTGGCAGCTCGTCCTCCCTCATCCATTTGTTAAAAAAGGTCGTTGCAAGGTCGGTAAGTGAAAGTGCACTGAAGCTGTAAAAATCTGAGAGATAACACTGTGCGATACCAAAAAATTCCTTGGAAGTTATGTATATTTTCTGGTAGATCTTTTCGAGTAAAACAAGAATCGAAATATGAAATTTGTCTAACACCCCCAATTTCTTGATTTACCGTTAAAAAAAAAAACGGGTTTTCGTACTTTTGCGCACTTATAAGCCTGTGACTTAGTCGATTATGAACCGAGTTTCAGTTTATTGTCGGGTTTGAAAAGAAGAAACTCGGGCCTTCCGAACGATATATGTACATATATGCGAATAAAGAAGTCTTAAGATATCTGTGTGTATTTACCCAGAAAACACATTTTTTTTTATTTTTTTTTTAGTTTTGCTAAGGTTTTCACGCATTATTTTATAAGAAAACCATACTAGTCCTAAATTGATTTTAAAACCAAATTTATTATCGAAAAAATCAAGTTTAATCGATTTCCAAAAATCGGACGAAACCTTTTATGAAAACAAAATTAAAAAAAAAAAATATGTATTATTTTTTGCTATACAACTTAAAAATGTTTGCTTAGCCGCGTATTCCTGCTTTATGCTTTTTTGTAACACTTTCTAGTCATTCACTTTGCAACCTATGTGTCGGTTCCCACCAAAGGGTCATCCTTGCTCCAGCAAGCTTGGATGACAATTTCGTCGGGTGCGTAGGTGCGACAAATAAGAACAAAAAGAGGTCGTGAGATAATTTTTTCCGATAAAAAAATTATTACTCTTGCAACAATCGCCCAATCCACAGAACGATAAGCTTATGTGTGAGCTTCCCTCAACAAATCGAAGGGTCAAACGGTTCCAAAATACCACGTCAGCTTTGCCTCTCTAACAGTATTGTTGGTAACAGCTTTGAGATGTGACTTCCAGTTAGGGATGCAAATTTTCAGAGCCAACATCGATACATCGATATTTCGATGTATCGTAAACACTAACATCGATGCCGATCGATCGCCCCAAAACTATCGATACATCGATATTTTCCGATGTTTCTCTTTTTTAATAAGTATGTAACAGGTACTTCATGATTTGCAGGTTTTTACAGGAAGCTGTTAACGTACGCCACCTTCCATAAGGTTTATTAATGGCGAAAACCGCTTTACCTGTAAAACCTGCAAATCCTGAAATACCTGGAACTGACTTAATGCTTGTTAAAATTTTAAGAAAAACCTAGTGTCCATCTAAACTGCTACACTGTTAACATTTCAATGGGTGGTTTTTTGAATTTAATTAGATTTCCTTCCAATGTCATAATAGATTTGCTGTTTACGCGCAGATAATACTTACACTCACCTTAAGTCGTGTTGAAATACTGTAACTACGTCATGGAAATCGCCTATGTTCAACGATGCCAATTGCTTTTATTAAGTGCAGGGCTGCCATCACCCGTAATACGCTTACCCAAAGGGCTCTGTCCCACGGTCAGTAATTATCACGATATTTGGATCGCGATCCATATTGATGGATTGATGGATCGCGCACGAATGCTACATGTTCAATATTTAGCGCGTCAGTATTTGCATATTTTTTTTGCTGAACGCTTATTATGACGCAAGAAAATATTTTTATTTTGTACGTATAATTTACAGATAATGCATTTATTATTTATGACAATTATTTTAAGATTTGTTCAATTTGTTTTGAAAGATTTTAAGCCCCGAGAGTGAAGGCAGAGCCGATGTTTACATTATGAGAGTAAAAGATGTACTGAAGAAATGTATGGATCGCGTTTTGAAAGTGCTACACGTTCAATATTTATTGACGGTATTGCGATCCGCGATCCAGATTTCAAAATTTTTAGAAATTTTGCGATATGGATCACGATCCATCAATACTGCATACTACACCGTCAATAAATATCGCGATACTTGGATCACGTCAATAAATACTGACCGTGTGACAGAGCCCAAAGAATATAACATAAAGATGTGAACGCAATGGCAATTTTGAACCGAAACTAAAGTCGATGTTTAAAACATCGTTAAAATTGACATCGATATATCGCCAATTTTACGATGTTGAGTAATTTTCAAATATCGATGGTAAACATCGGTTTTTTGGCCGATGTTATCGATGTTTCAGAAACATCGATGCATCGTTTGCATCCCTACTTCCAGTTGAGACTTTTGTTTAGGGTTATACCTAGATAACTATCCTCTTGCAATAACTTTAATCTCCGATAATTCCGGTGGGAGTTTATCTAAATTGGCATTCCCTCTTTTGGTAAATTAATCAATCAGTTTTAAGGCTTGTCACCTATACTTTTTGCTTTGCAAATAGCCTACTTGCCTAATATACGAAATGCACTTGCAGTGCCCAACAACAACACAAAGGCCTAATACGGTAAACAAATGGACGCACAAAAAGGAGATGACAAAATTATTAAAAACAGGCCGACTCAACAATACAATAGAACAATTGAAATTAGGATATTGGACAACAGTAATTATATGGGGAAATGACAACAATTATTATTATGTAACCAACTACAAAAGAATATAAATATTAGGGTGAGGCAAAAATTATGAGACATGTCACGAAGTGTTCAGATGTTAAAGAAAATATAAAGAGACAAAAAAGACGATATTAAGCAGAAATAATGCAAGAAAAAACCTTTGTTTTTTGGTGTACCCGAGGAAAAGTCTCCAAAAAAAACGAAAAGGTTACGAACCCACTCGCAGTACTGCCCGAGCTGGCGTGGATATGTTTAACCCGCCAAGTGACTGGGTTCTGGTGCGGGATGCTAAATGGACGTGGCACAATAGCGTGGAATCTACTGACAACGCTACATGCCCAATACACGCAACAACACGGAGAATACTTACGCTGTGGTCGAGGTGTGCGTCGCTCACTGGGTGCTCCTGCGGTGTTATGCCGCCACCGACTCCGCGACTTGCCGCCTCGACTAGAGCCACTCTTAGATTTGCCTGTCCAACTATGGGCTAAGTGCCTCTCCTGACACTTTCATAAAGCTAACTCAAAAAAAACACTTTACCACGTCTGGAACCAAATCACTTTCTTTCACTTTTTAAAAACCGCAATGACTCGCTCACAGTAGGGATGTTTCCCTATTCACTGCTCACTAGGTTCTGCCCCGGCGTGCAGCTATGAGTTGGGGCTCCGGTTCGCTAAACCATTGGGCCTCAGAGCCGGTGTTGTTGGTGCCCGATCAATTAGCACCGTCCCGTTTATTCTAAAAACGAATTGCGCGCTAGAGCGATCGCATACAAACAAACACCATGGACTTTCCCATTGCCATTATACGGCGGACAACAAAAGTGTCGCGATAAGAGATAAAAATTCTTCGCTCCTGTTGTGGTTTTTCGCGTCATCTCTTACTATTGTTTTCCTACGATTGGTCGGCATCGTTTTGGAGCGAACACCCCTAATGTTGACTTTTCCCAATTGTATTAGCACACCACTGATAATCAGCTGCTTTTCTCTTCAAGCTGAGCTTTTATTATTGCAATTGCCGGCAGAGCTCGCTCCAATCGGTTGGAGTGAGGGGAGATAACAATAATGCAAAGGAAAACCAAAAGAAAAATTTGTTGCGTGCAGTACGCGACAGGCAATATAGAGGCTAGATGACTAGCTTTTCTGCGTAGTCAAAAGTTAAAAATCCGTTGGCCGCTTGCCTACTGCCGCCTAGTTCCTACTCCCTTCTAATTCTGGATTCAACATACTTATGATCCATGCAGTTGTTAAATTAAGCGTGTTCTTTCTATTCATGCGCTTGGATTTTATTTATCTCATTTTACCAGATTTTGAAAATGTACCAAATCTCAAAGTTATGTACCAGTCAAGGCGAATTCATATCAGGTGGTATCGATTCAACAAAATTCTGACAATCACACAGCTATTCACAGCTGATGATACAACACCGCCTTATATGAATACGCCTTGGTACCAAACAGAAAAAGGTGTAGCAAACAGAAAAAGGTGTACCAAACAGAAAAAGATGGTACATTTCGGTCAAATTGGCCACCCTGGGCAAGACACGATAATAGGGTGATTAAACTGGGCATTTCTGAGAGCACTATATTTTCTTTCGGAAGGCAATGGCATATCTGACTTAAAAAGTTTTATCCAACCCCCACCAAATGCGATAAAAGCTCCTCAAGCTTCTTTAGACGAAGTTCTTTTTGCGGGTCTATATACATATTTGACCGTTCGAGCAGCACTGCCCAGATTGGGGTAGACGAAAAAAAGCGTAGACATAATATTTTTTAACGGGGAAACTTTATCAGTCAGCGTTTATACATTTAAATAATCATTAATGTAATTTAATTTATTTCAAATTTTGAGTTCCACTCACCGCACTACTAAACGTTGTGTTACTTACACACATATTTTGATATACATATACATTCGTATGTATACACACAAACACATATACTTTCATACAATACAGAAAATATGCATTACTAGCCTAACTTTTTGAGAACAATTGCCATACAAAAATAAATATGTATATGTACTTACACAACTTATATACAGTTTATTAGAATGAACCCAATTAACATATAAACTTAAAGACATACGAAAACTTAACTAAAACTTAAACCTAATTCACAAGAACATGAGCCACACTTCATAGGGAATGTAATAGTAGTAAAAAAATAGAGAAATAAATGAGAAAAAACTTACAAATTAAATAAATAGTAATTTAAAATAAATACACGCATACATACATACATAGCAAAAAGCAAGGGAAAAATCAGAAATAAAAAACGCAAAAAAAAATGGAGAGAACAGTGCATGCAAAATTTACTAAGTATGTATGTATGTATTATTGCATATTAAACAAAAAAAAAACTACGAATAATATACCATACACTCGTACATAAATATGTACAGACATACATACATACATAAGTATGTAACTACTATATCTATATTTATTATTATATCTATTAATAGTGAAAGCGCTTTGTACGCCAATGAATGTGCGACAAGCCAAAAAGGATGAAAGCATACACCGAAATGTAAAAGAAATTTACAAGTTATGTAAAAGTGAGTTGTATAAAAAAACGCAAATAAATTAAATACCATAACTAATTAAATTAATTACATTATATTACATTTAAAGCGTAAATAAATTAAATTTAAGTATATAAATAATGAAAGTAGTTGCATAATTTCAATTTGCAAATTTTTTGCTGAATTGATAGAGAATTTTCAGCGTGTAAAACGCTTAGTGCAGTGAAAATTTATTATTAACATTAACATAATTATTATACTGTATGATTACATTTATAATTATTATGATTAACAGCATCGTCATTAGACATTATTAGAAATAATGGTAATTATTGGTTATTACCCAAGTGAACATACAAACAACAACATACATACTTATATACATTTACAAGTGAAGCGAGCAGTTACACTACATACATACATCAAATATTATGATTAATATTAACATTGAGCTAAGCATTACATACACACATATTAAACCTATTGTACCAATTACATAAATAAATTGGCACATTCGCTTCAAATGCGCAATGAAAAAAATAAGCAACAAGAACAAGAAAAAAGCATGTTGCAAAGGATGGTGTATTGAAAAAAAAGAATTTAAAATAATAAAAAAATGTGCAAATGTGCGAAAGGCAAATTTCCAAATAATTTGTAAAGAAAAAAAAATAACACAAACACAGCCAAAAACATGTAAACATGTAAAGCTGCAGCTGCGAAAACACACTAACGTGTGGCTGCCTGCGACCACAGACAAGCAGCTAAGTACTTGCATTGGAGACTTTCAACAAACCTAGACACATACATAAATACATACATACATACTTCAAGCACGCGCCTAACCAACATATAACCTCAATTCCATCTCAGTCGCCCTCTTTCCTCGTTCTCCACATTTCCTACATTCAGCTTCAAAAAAACAACTCTCTCCCATACAACGGCTATTCGGTGTTGAACCAAAATAAAT